ATCAGTCTTAAATGGGATAGCAACGAACAATCAATGGGAAAAAAAATATTAATGGAAAGGTATTAAACATGAAGTAAGGTTTTGGGTTTTTTTTTTAAAAAAGAGCATCTGTGAATGTTAGCATGCAGAAATACTGGAATCTAATGTTGATTACACGTCATCCTTTCCTGAAACTGAATCCTCTGTTTTTCAGTTTAGGCCTGCAATCAATGTCTCAGTCTTTTCTAAAACACGGCTTTTAAAAAATTCCAAATTAGTCATTATGTCTCATGAGAAAGCTCCAATATTTCAAGATGACATTGCACCTCTTCCTGTAAAACCACCTTGATTGCCAAATTCACCTCCATTTTCTTTCATGAACATTTGGAGTTGTCCATAGAAATCACTAAAGATACATTTTCATCTAAAATCTACTCTATACCAAGGCAAATATATTAGAAATTGGATTGTTATTTCTATAGATCTTTCTTTCTACTCTGAAACAACAAAAAAAGTTATATTCTGGGAAAGAATATTTAAAAGATTATAGGCACACTCATGCTGTGAACTGTTTTGCACACACAGTCATCAGGCCACTCTGCTTCTTGTGCTCTCTCATCTGACACTATCATGTATTCTGTTGATACCTATGGGGAAAAACATTAACCAACCCTATGTGAAGCTGCTTTGCAATTAACCTGATATGGTAACATATTTTGTGAATAAAGCTGGTAATTTTCTTTTTTTTGGAGGGCTGTTTATAAACTTTCATATTTATGTAGATCTGCTCCGGCTTTGCTAATTAAAGTCTGTCTTTATTGGCAGACATAATTAGAGATCTTCAAGATGATCTCTGTTTTTTTTATAATTCTTCAGACAGCAGATTGCCTAAAAGGTTGCAGTGTGGTGGCCCTAAGTCCGCCTCTGCTTCCAAGTGAACAAAATGTTCTTAGAAAAATAAATAAATGTAAATAAAAAATATAAGGACTTTGATGCTAACTGAGTAAAAGCTTTTAGGAGTAAGTAAAGGTTTAGGGAAAAGAATTTTTAAGTTTAGTTTTTAAACTATTATTAAAGCAATAGAATTTTAAAGCTCTGTTTTAATTTTCCAAAATTTTCCATAAAAGCAATTTATGTAGAGGGATGTCATGCAAAGTCTCACAGGAGTTTTTTAGGGGAAACTGATGATTGTGTTCATGTGCTGCTCTTCCATTCCTTGTGATCAAAGAATACTGCTTGTGTTTTATTAGAACTCTGTCTGCACCAGTAGAAAGACATAGTGGACATCAGTCTTTGGTCTGTACTCCCACACCTTAGAGCTGTGTTTAAGAGGAAATCCTTCCTTTTCAGGTTGCATAGAAATCTTTGTTAGGCAGTCTACATTTTTCTTTTCCATGGTTTCCCACTTTTTGTAGCACAATTGCAAATGCTCTTGAGATTGCATTAAGCATGCTTAGACTGCCCCCAAGACACTCTGAAAGGGAGGTGGCTCTTCCTTCACCTCATGCATAGCCAGATTAGTCATTGAGGGAGGAATTTTAAAGAGGAACTAGTGAACAGTTAGAATTTTTTTTTTAATGGAATAATCTCATGCCAGGAATAGACATGTCAGTTTGGATAGTAAAGGTCATAGTCCAATGCCATGGAAAGTAAAATATTTTCATAGACAGATTCTTCTTCTCCAGAACAACAAAGTGCACATGTGAAAGCAATTTTTCTATCTTCTTGTCACTATTAAAAGTCAGTGTTTAGTACAAATATTGTTTCAACCAACTTTTTGATTAATTTGTGCATTCAAGTGTTAAACATTGTCAACTAAATGTAGGCAATACAAAATATGACTACGTGTGTAAAAGTCTATTCAGATATGTTTGTTCATACTGCTAAAACAGGAGAAGCTTGGAAGAATTTAACCTGGGTTTGGAACTTGCTTCCATTGTGACTCCTTCCTGTAACTCAAAAGAAGAAATTTATTTCATGCATTCAGTATTTTGTTTCTGTAAAGAGTCTGCATTTAAAAAGGGAATCCACATTTTTAAAAAATATGTGCATCCACACCTTTAGGTCTGTGAAGGTTGCTGAGCTACGTTGATTTACAGATTTTTTTGAAATACATCTTAAATCTCTTGCTTTTCAAGTTTTCTGTGAGTGGCTGAGCTGTGGCTGCTGATGGTTCCATCCACAGGGTGAGAGATTTAGATGACTAGCTGTGGCTTGTGTGATGGAAACCAGTTCAGTATTTATAGTTTATGTTTTGAAATTTTAGAATAAAATAACATTGGGCCTGCTTTTTAATCCAAACATTTCAGGCTATGTCTTCCTTTCGTCTATTGGCACGCCAGCAATTCATTCAATACAAATAAGAGGTTTTGTGCTGTGGCTGGACTGTGAGATTGCCATGTTTCTGAAAGGTACCAATGTGGTATGCACTTATATACCCAAAATACTGTATTTCTTCTGCTGCAAATAGATATCAAGAAAATTTGAAAGCTCAAGTAAGTAAAATAATAGGACAGTGAATCCAGATGATCAAAGAATTTAAGTTTCCCTTGTTCTATATTTGTCTCAATATTCTTGTCTCATTCCTCAAAATATGAAGAATGATAGTTACGGAAATGCATTAAATAAGGCGCATATTTAAAATTTGTTCATTTACCAAAAAAGAGTTGCAGCATGGCTACCAGAAACATAATTCTTTTCTGTGTAACTTATTATCATGGTTGTAAAATTAGGAACCATCATAAGAACACCACATCACCTGACTAAGAGCAAGACACATAAATCCAAGAGTTCTAGTGCTATAAAAATGTCAGTGAACTGAATGGCATGAAAGTCCTACAAGATATTTGTCTACATGTATACTAGCCACAAGTATGCAGTCATTGGCGGAGAATTTAACTGACAAATTTTAAAGCGAAGATCTGACCCTCTCTTGTTTTCTAGTTGACTCACTGAACTTAAGTGATTTCATTTGAGGTAGAGAACTGAGAGTCCCAGTTGTGAAGGACTGATGACTTACCTGTAAGTGTCATTTAAGGTTCAAGATACTGTTTTAAAGAGGGCTGCACTGACTTCAGACGCTTCATTCAAATTATGATACTTAAATGCTAAAAACCCTGCAATTGACATCATAGAATTGGATTCAATATGTGATGGATACACTTTAAAATGGTAACATAAGGATATAGGCAGGAAACAGAAAATTAATTGAAAGGTTAATTCCAAATGGTGGAATGGTGTTCGGCCAATGTCTGAAAAATATGACACAGTTTAGCTGGAAGACTGAAAGGACCTAAAGGATTTCAGGGAGGGGTTGCAGGTTTACAGGTTGAGGGATTTTTTGGTCTTTACAATGCTCTTATGGAGACTACTATGAGGCAATGTCTAGCAAGCCAAAACTGAATTTGCTTTTTTGTTTCTGATAGATTACAAATGAAATAACTGTACAAAGCATCAAGCTGACAGCAGTCATGATCAGAATACTTTACAGTATCAGAAAATCTTTACAGTGCTATATATTTTTAGTCCCACAACTTAATATAATGTTTTTCTAAGAAACACAGTCTTGAGAAGTTTTTTTTTCAAGATGTTAGTGTCTATGTCCTTGAATAAGAGAAAAGAGGAGGACTTAGAAATACCAGTTCTACAGCAGTCTCCATTTGTAATTATGAGCTATTGCCTGAATCTATTAGCTATGAAGCCACCTGTTTGCTCAGTATAAATAGCTTAGAATTTCCTGCAAGGAAATTACATGAAACATCAATAAGAAATGATATTACATTTACAGGTCAATATGACTATCATTACTTGGCATTTATCTTTTCCTACTGATACGATGTTTGGCAGCCACTGTCATAGAAGACCTAGAAATTGTTGCTCTGTGTTTTGTTTCCATTCGTGTTAAATTGGCCTGTTCAGTAATGGCAGTCATTCATTCTGCTTGTTTTAACAGATCCTTGATATTTCATTTTTCTTATCATACACCGTAAATACAGCAATGTGTAAAGATGGCCTAGTGCTGTGATGGTTTCAGAGGCATTAGTCTCTCATCAGGATCTTGGGATGTAACTGCTTTTGTACACACCTTAGAAGGGTACAGAATGAACTTTGCCTCTTCTCTCTGCTGTGGATATGCCTGATTTTGTCACTAAGACAGAAAAGGGAGCTTCCTGCAACCCTGTGCCATCTTTTTTGTGCTCTGGCTTTCTCTGATCATGTGGAAAAGGTAGCCCAGGCCTGAGCAGAAGCCTCAGCTTACAGTAGATGGCTACATATGTTTATATGTTTAATTTCTGGCTTTGTGTTCCTGGCATACAGAGTTTAACAGAATATTAGTTTTGTGATTTCTCAGCCTTTTTTGTAGTCACTGGTGCCTTTGAAGCATAACTATCTATTAGTCACTCTAGTTTTAAACTACTTAATTTAGACACTGAAGTTTCAAGTACCTATTCCAGCAACTAACATGGATATCTGAGATACTAAAATACTTCTCTATACTGAGGAGAACTTTGATGTGGATACTAGATGTATTTCTAATGCTGGCTTTTTAATGTTGTCTTTATTTCATTTCAGTTTCAAATAGTTCAAACATGTTCAGATAAACCTCTCAGATGTTTAGTAGAGTAAACCTCCTAATTCATGAGTAACATTTTGTTCTCATCCCCGCATTTCAAAACATTTACAATATGTGTAGCCTCTTTTTCAATAGTATTTCTCACTAAATTCTGCACGCTTTCATTACTGTAAGCCTACAGGGATTTGAGATATATCTGAACAAACAAGTCATTTCCAGATTCATTGGATACTTAAATAGGTTTGTTTTTAAAAATATCTTTTTTTATCCTACAAATTGGAGTCTTAAATTACATATTAAATTACCAAACTAATATACTATGTAGAAGGCAAAATTTAAATTAACACCGGTGTATTAAGATGCAAAACATTTAAGGGGTTAATGTCAGTGATGAGGATGCATGAGAACTAAATGTGCAGACCTTGCAACATAACTGTTTTTTATTCAGTTATAGGTGCCCAGCGCAGGAGAAGTCCCAGTGCCCTTGCCATTGAAGTATTTGAATCACATTTGGGAAGTCATATATTGCAGGTAAAAAAATGGCTTTTCCAAGAAAAATCAAAATATCTATCTAGTCATATATCTGCCAATAATTTGAATAGTATTGTTGTCAGCACTTATATTGATGAGATTTTTTTTTGTGCTCATATATCTTCTATTCTGAAAGTCCCTAATTGGGAGACTGGTAATGAGAGGCAAGGCAAGTGTTATTTTAGCTGAATCACAATATTTTGTTGTTTAGAATTGTGCGGTAGGTGTTTGCTTACAGAGTGCCCTTGTGTGTTTGTGTGAGTGTGTGTACAAGCTAGTATTTTGTGTTGGTGATTTGTCTTATGTCATGTATCACTTTAGGGTTGGGGTTTTTTTCCCCACTTTTTTTTATAAGCACTGCTTTTCTCCATGATATCCCAGTTGTCACAATTATATATCACAAATTTGGAGCAATTTGCAGAGATTAAAAAATGAACAGAAGTATGCCTCTTAGGTGTCCGTAGCTGTGGGCTGAAAATTGGTCTGGTATTTGTCAAACTAGTTCATCACATGGCACAAGTCATCATACTCCAGGAAGACTCAACTGAAAAACAATGACCTCATGGAAATATTCTTGTGCATGATTTATTTTGCCAGGGTTACTACAGCCTTTCTTTGATTGAAGTGATCAAATGTGGAGTACAAGCAGTTAAGAAGAAAATGTGATGTGCTTTGAAGTAAGGCAAACCCAGCCCTATGGAAATAAAATCCACACAGTCTTTTCTAACTGTGGCACTGAATAACTGCTCTTATTTAGCAATGTACACAGCTTCTCAATGCAAATATATTGTCTGGTGTATTATCTTTTGAGAGGTACGAGAGAGGTAAATTAGGATATTATCATGAGAAATATTCCACTTAATTTGAAATGATTGAGAGCTATCTCTGTACTAACTCAGCTGTGGTATTCAAAAGCACTATAGATAATGTCAGAATTTTCACATCTTTATAAAGTAACTAAATGCAGAATAGCAACAAAGATAATTTTAGGAAAACATTAAATTAACTAGTAGAATTAATTTCTCTTTGGAGCAGGAATCATGAATGAAATTATTTGCTTAGTTGTGCACTCTTGGCAGAGGTCTAGGTCAAGTTTTTGATTCTGTAAGCAAATACTTTTATTGTAGTCATGGTGTCAGAGATCTGCACCGGTATCTAAGTACTGTGCTTGCATAGTAGGTAGGAACACTGCTATGTTGTCTCATACATAGAAAAAAATGAAGAACTAACAGTTTTATGATAGTTTATGTAATTTGTCAGTATGTTGAGTGTGTCAACATATCATATATCCTAAAGGTATGTTTTTTACAATATTATTTAAAACTCATATATAAATACAACCGCATTGAGACTGATTTATTTACACTTTTTAGGTATTAAGTATGACTCTTATAGATGAAAATGAAAAAAACCTAGGATGGCCACTTTGAAGACTACTTGATATTTAAGTTTTTCCCTTACTGTGTATTAAAACACATAGCAACTTTCATACTTGTTTAAACTAGATTCCACTTATGGACTGTTGGGATTTTTGGGTTTTCTTTTTGGGTTTTTTTTTTTTTAGGTTTTTTAAAATTTGTTTGTGATAAATTAAGGTGTTTTCAGGACATAACTTCATCATACTACTACTAAAAAAAACCCTGTATTGCACATGTATACTCAAAACTGAGGATTTTAAATCAAGATTACCATCAGCCTTGTATTGAATATCTGTTGAGGTGTGGCCTTTTCAAAGAAGATTATGCTTTTATCAAAGTACTCCCATGAATCTCCCAGTTGATAACAGGCAGTTCCACCCTGATATTTTTGAGACTCTTGATGATGGATAAAGGACAATATGAATTAACAGTGGTAACAGGTTTATCATGACATGTTAAGATTTTGTCTTATTTTAGCAGAGCAATTTACCCTTGGGAGAAAACCTGGGTCATCCATTCAAATGCACCTCTTCTAAACAGATCAGAATGAACTTCAAAGTACTGCCTTGTGGTCTAACAGGTAGAAATATAATCACCTGAAGACAAAATGTTTATTAAAACAATAATTGGACAGACTTTGTGGTGGAATACAGTTCTAACATGTTCTCACCTAGCCTGCTACTCACAGAAATTATTTTCAAATAAGTATCATGATAAGTATTGTTTGCAAGTGAAGTAAACAACCTTGTTTATACCTTGGGAATTTTGGTTCCAGAGTCTGCTATCTGAAGAATTTGAATTAATAGTTTGTGTAATCCCTTTTGCTATTAGTGTTTTGAAGACTCAGTTTAGTGTAAGCTCAGAAATTAAGGACCTCTCTAATCTTTTTAATATTTTGATACCTCAAAATTTATTGCTAGATATGCATAATACAGTAGATTTTTAAAAAGTGGACATAGTTTACTTAAAATGACATTACAAAAACAGAAATGGAGGTACATCTTGTGATATTTTTACATTTTGAGTCTACAAGTAGGTAGTGTCAGTCATATCTAGGTATACATTATATACATCAGTCGTGTCCATACATATTAAATCCATGTATTTACATATAATACTTAGTCATCATTGAATGAAGAATGCCTTCATCCATGACTTTTTTTCTATTATTAAGGAATCTAATGTTTAAATACTGCTTAATTGATGATTGATACTAAGGGTTTTCTCCCATATGCAGTTAAGTACAGAAAATAGAAAAGTAAAACTCTACCTGTCATAAGAATAAAAGTTAAAAAGTTATTGATTTTGGTCTGAGAGAGCATTTGTGCCCAGGGATCATACAGTTAATTTTGTTCCATTATGGGAGACTTCATCAACTCCAAAAAAATCAACACACTATTTATTACCTTTACATAAATTCAGAGATGAAAAATTGAATAAAAACCCTGATAAAAGCAAATTTAATACTGTTAAAGGGCTTCATTTGAATAAGGCTGGATGCATCTTTGCATTTGTCCTTTGTACAAATCTAGATATACAAAGAGGCTTATACTTTGCTTACATATGAAATCCGACACTCATGCACATCCTCATGGTGAGAATGGTGAGTCCCTGGCATAGGCTGCCCGGGGAATCTGTGGCTGCCCCATCCCTGGCAATGCTCAAGACCAGGTTGGGTGGGGTTCTGAGCAACCTGGGATAGTGGAAGGTTCCCTGCCCATGGCAGGGGATTTGGAACTAGGTGATCTTTAAGGACCCTTTTAGCCTGAATCAGTCTAAAATTGTATGTGTCTCTGTCAAAAAATCTCCAAGCCACAGCTGATTGCTGTATATCATGCTGAGGAGATTCCCAGTGGTAGCTTTGATGCCAAAGGCACTATCCACTCTGTGCTTGTGGAAGAAAAGACACCACAAGAGATGACTGCTCAAGCACTATTACATCAGAATCTTTATGTCAGTGTAATGTCTTTTAAATGTTTTCCAAGTAAAATCACCTGAATTATGAATAGTAGAGTGGATGTAATGGAGGAGAAAAGTAGATAATGGCAACATGTTAATTAATTTTTGACAAGATTTTTGATTTGCCAAATTATAGGCTTTGTTTTTCTTGTCTTGTACATTATTTTTCTTCTGAAAAGTGTTATAACAAGAATAGATATCTTCTGGTTTATATTTCTGTGTATATATCTGTCTGTCAACTAAATCCAGAAAAATAATTATTTTTGGTACCTACTATTAAAAATTTGGCTTAAATTGGTTGTAAAATTTAGTAAGATTTTAATCAATTTTTCAGGATCTCTGGATTTTTTTTTCTGTAACTTCATTGCTATTAAGAAGGTGTGAAAGGGGGTCAGTAACCCCATAGTCTTCTTATAATCAGGAATGATCAGGAAATGTAGAACTAAATATAGAGAAAAGAGAAAGTTAGTGAATATATTTGCATATGCAAATTAGCTTAATTGATACTGCTTGCCTCTACAGGGATTTTTCATTACAAACTGGAGTGCTACATTGTTCAGCTCATATTGAGTAATTTAGTAACTAATGAGACCAGTTTGCACTAATTTGCATATGATAAATGAGCTTAATTGCAGTAAATAACTTGGAGGCATAATTACTTAATTTTCCTGTGTTGCATGGCTTTTAAGTTCACGTATGAACAACTCAAGATAATTTTGCATATTTAAATTAGTTGCTTTTAAAATTCTTGAACAAAAAAGAACACACCTTGCAATGTGAACCGTAAAACAATTATAAGTATAATGTACAATATTTTCAAAAAAATTTAATATTTTGAAAATATATGTTTCTTTCTTTAAAACCATCAGTGCCTTTTTAAAAACTAAATATTTTGAATTAATCACAATGAAGTAGCTTTAAAGTCAGGGTAGGATGGAAAGATGGTACGAGTAAAAATAAAAAGTGTGTATCTGAACTGTAGTGAGCAGTACGCATTTTGTATTTCTGCATACAAGAGTGATAACTTTCATAATTGCATTCTTTGCTTCAGTAGTGCCTATTCAACTGTTAAGAAACCAACACTTTCATATAGCATTATGTACATATTACATACACAGTAACTTGGACACTAGTTGTTTTAGATCATCTATACTGTGCTACCTCATTTTGTGTGAAGAAATCCTTATACTGGACAGATACTGAAGTGTCAGTGCAACAAAAATTGTATCCTTTGCTTCATTTTGTGGACATGTTCAATTGTGAGCACTGACAACTCTTATGATGTAGATTTGTACAATGAGTTTCAAAACATACAAACAAAAACAAAGAAACAAAACAATCCAAAATCAAACTAATTGGAAGACCACAGTCAATTTCTGCCATGTCCCTAAAGTTATTGCACATTAGATAACTTTGATACATTTGATAGAATTGAACTACTGAACTAGACAGAGAAAAAAGCCAACTACCAATCTCATTTATTCCTATAGCAAGATCTGTTCTGCACCCATGGATGACAAGTGGATGACAATTACAAGTGGATGACAATTACTGAATTCTCCTCTGTCCATAAAAGTCCCCCACCTACCTAGAAGCTGGAAGACTTTTTGAATCTTGGAAATT